AACACGCACGCGTAGTGTGTCTACTGTCACCAACGATGGCAAGCGCATGAGAAAATGCCTTTAAATTGACAAAAAAACAAAAACGAAATAATCCAGGCTGTTGACAGAAAGCAAGCTCCACTGGCAGAGATTTGTCGTCAGTTCGACAATCCACAAGGGTTGATTCACACCATTACCAAGGATAGAGAGAAGATAGTGGCAGCATACTCCAATGGAAAGTTTGCTCTGAATCGAAAGAAGATGATACTACCCGATGCAGATGCTGTGGACCAAGCTCTTCTGATGTGGTTTAAGGAGGCAAGGAGAAAGTTGGTGCCAAAACCCCTGTCCGTGGGTACTTGTGCAAAGAAACTACCCATGAATAAGTACAGCTAGATTAGTCCACAAATTCTTACTTTCCTTGCATTTCTGATTTAACAGGGATCGGATATAACAGGACATTTTCTTTACTCCCACCATCCCTGTTATATCAGGTTTCCACAGTAAGCAACAGATTTTGTAAGAAGGATCGTCTAGGTCTAGATCTTGATCTGTACTGGTACCTGAAAGAGAAATAAACTGACTAGAGAATAATATCCAACATCATCATAGAATCTAGCTATAAATCAACACCAATCAGCTGATTCATGTTTTGAAATATAAAAAAAAACACCAAAAAAACCCGGCCTTTCACTCCCCACTCCCATTCTCATCTGATGTCGTAAATCCTTTCAATTCACATTCATTCACTCAAGCTCACTTCAAAACAGTTTAGAACTACAGGACAGTAATTAAAAAAACCCAACTTCTGACCTTCTCCAGACTCAGAATTAGAGGCAGAAACCTCCTCCTCACTTGTTGCCGCAAAATCTTCTTCGGAATCACTCATAGTTGTTGAAAAATCTTCTCAAATTGGCTCAAAATTCAAGTACGAACACTTCTGACAGTGTTGGCAGCCTTTTGAAATGGAAAAATAATGTTCCCTGATTTTTATTGAATTGGGATGAAACTGACCCTGACGCACACAAGTGGTTAAAGGAGGTGGAGGTCGCCTAGTTTCAGAATAAAATAAGCAAAAAAATGGCCATAAAAGTTTTGTGAGTTCCATAGCTTGAGAGGCCTTGTAAACTGAACATTTTCATTTTTATGCCTGTTATCACAGATTTTCAGTAAAATCCACACGGAAATGCGTTTTAAAATAGCCATAAAAGGTGCGGAGCCAAAAAACAAAAATTCGGTACAAATTGTCAAACGTGTGGAAAAATGCTAGTTTTTTAATTTCATTATTTTGACGAGCGCCTGATTTCACCATGATGCTTCACATATGTTTTGTTGAAGAAAGAAATGTTGCTGGTCTTTTTGCTTCCTTTTGAGATTACTTGTTTGTTTTCCTTAATGAGGAGATTTCATTTTTTTGAATGGAAATTTTAACATGTTAGTTTTTTTTTCTGGGAAAGTCCAATATATATTTGGATCAGTTATTATTGAATGCTGTACAGTACACAAAATTTAAAAAGAAAGAAAATATTGTTTTACAAATCTCCTGGTACAGATGGGAAACAATTGATTAGGAAAAATCCCCAGAGAGAGATAACATTCATTGTTGAAACTTGAATTATGTCTCGTTTTTAGTTGTACCCTTACGGAGCATTGTTATAACCAAAGATACATGTTCATTTATTGTTTTTTTTATTTGATCATGTCTTTTTTACTTCGTGTTTCCTTATAGTTATACGTGCTCTTCGAGACGAGAACTTTTGTATTTGGGCTGGATGTTTTTTTAAAAAGATATCTTTTTTAGTCTACTTATGAGTCATGATAGGTTCGAAAAATTTATCTGACTTCTATACTGTTTTTGTAGCAGCTCTTGAGTAGCCATTGCTGACATTAACAGACATGTTTTCGAAGTTGCAAATGCCTTGCAACTGGTTTTGTGAGCTTAAAATATCCTTGAAGAAGTATTTTCTTGGATAACTGATGAATGCTATTTCTGTCCACAAATTGCTTTGCTGGACATTGTTACTTGTGTTTTAGCGACAAATCCCTATTTTGACAGCTGGCATTTTATGCTCAGCAGCTAAAGTAGTGAGAATACAACCACTAAAATATCTGCAGAGCAGCTAGCTGAAAAGACTTGAAATCTCTGTGTGATCTTTTGCTTCTGATGAATTGCTTTGTAGTTTCCGCTGGTGTCCATTGAGTCAAACTCAGGACCATAATGATTACTTCTTCAAAGGCTCAGTCATTCCATGGTAAATTTCTCCGATTTGAAAACAGAGAATGTATCGATGTATGCAAGTAGGAATTTATTTTGTGGATTGCGTGTTTGTTTATTTAATTTTATAGGTTACTTTAGAGGATTTGGAAGACACTTTCCCTTTGATAATAGAAAGAAAATCCAGTCGCAATTATGGATCGTTTTTTGTGAGATTGATCTTCACTTTTATTCAACTCTGTTGATTAGGCTTTATTGGTTCTTAAGACGAGATATGGAGAAAGAAGAAATGTCTTATAATAAGTA